GTTGTATATGTTGTTATTAATGTTGTTATTAATGTTGTAAATGTTGTTATTAATGTTGTTATAAATGTTGTTATAAATGTTGTTATAAATGTTGTTATAAATGTTGTTGAAAATGTTGTTGTAAATATTGTTATAAATGTTGTTATAAATGATGTTGTAAATATTGTTATAAATATTGTTATAAATGTTGTTATAAATGTTGTAAATGTTGTTATAAATGTTGTTGTAAATGTTGTTGTAAATGTTGTTGTAAATGTTGTTGTAAATGTTGTTATAAATGTTGTTGTAAATGTTGTTGTAAATGTTGTTATAAATGATGTTGTAAATGTTGTTGTAAATGTTGTTGTAAATGTTGTTGTAAATGTTGTTGTTTGTAGAGTCACGATTATACTGGATTAAAGTGTTTTATTAATGAGTAAACTTCTTTTTAGAGATCAAATAAAGCTTTTAAAATGTTAGGTTTTCTAAAGCGAGCGTGCAAATATTTTGACAGTGTCCATCTTATTAAAACCTTATCTACAACGTCAGTGAAAAGAAACCTTGAGTATTGTTCTCAGGTGTTGTCTCCTTCACAAACATTTCTTGTTAATAAAATTGAACGAGCTCAAAGAAAATTTATAAAAATTGTATGTGCAAGGTAAAGTATATTATATTCTTCAAAAGATTATGTATCACTCTGCTACCATTCCAATTTATCTCCTTTAGAAACACGTCGAAAATTCATGATAAATGTTTTATTCTTCATATGTTATACCTACATCAATAAAATACCTACATTATTCTCTGTTTTGTTAATGACGTCATGCCGGAATTAACTACCTAAAGTGTGGTGCATATATAAACAATGTTTAGATCATTTTCACAATTGGTGCAAACAATGAAGGAAGGAAAATAATAATTGTTAAAGACAAATTGAAAATATTTCATTTTAGAAAAAGATTAGCGAACGCGTGGGCGCGTATGCTATCACACAGTTTATTTCCGATGCGCATAGTGATTTCAAGTTGTAAGCCCGACGGGCTTAAATGTTATAATAAAGTAATATTTAGGAATTTATGTTTTATGTCACATTTAATAAACAAACAACTACAACTACTAACTTTTCAGTTGCTTTTGTTCATGAATTGTATTAATTCTAAATGAATTTTATAAATTATATTTCCATTACATTCACATAGACAAAAAATAACTTAACAATTTGACATTTGAGGGAATATTTTCTAAACAGAAATGACGGGCCAGACAACGCGTAAGTGTGCAATTTCTACACATTTAGTAGTTCTGTTCTTTTATATCATATTTTTGTAAACATAAGTATATTCTTAAAATCTATATAAATTTGGAACGAACATTTAGGTGTTTAAAATGTTGCGGGAAAAAGTTGGAAATAGCGCTTTATATCGATTAGAATAACATTGACGTGGTCACATATTCCTTTTTTCAGCGAACGCATTCGGTAAATTCAGACAGTTGTGAACACTTTCAGCGGAAATGAAAAGAAAATCATTTAAGAAAGCGGGAGGTGGTGATCAAATGTTATAATTATCACGTTATACAGTCTCAGTTTCATTTCGAACTTACCATTCTTCTTCAAAATTCAACCAGAACAACAAGACATCATACTGTACGACGAATGAATGAGAGAAGTGTGCTGACGCTTATCATTGGTAATGTGTACCCCCCCCCCCCCCAAAAAAACAAACAAACAAAAACAAACAAACATCGGGCAGCCGGAGCGAGGAAGAATACAATCAATTTAATAGGCCCGAGAATCAGTGCATAGAATCAAAGAAACCAGACATTTATTGTTTTTGTCTTGTCATTTTGGTACAAGCAAGTTCGACACCGTGACCGTGGTTTACAAAGATGCGCGCCCTCTATGGCAATAGAATTGTCGTTATAAAGGCTTCATTTATTGTTAATAATCATGCATCTGCGGAACCGTAAGGTGATTATCATTCAAAATTGAAATCTCGATTTTTCAAATTCTTAACCACCGATCATTCTTAATTCCAAAATTTACAGATACCCTTCTCAACTGCTGACCTCTGACTTATGACCTCCGAGCCCGTCAAATTACCTCTGCACCATCCCGGTGCCCGGGTCCCGGTGGCTCTACCAACAGCAAAACACGCACATTCTCGGCAATTCCTCTATTTCAAAACTGAAATAACCATGAATGTTCGTTTCAAATTCCAGAATACGCCGGAAGCTGATTAAATGTGGGGGGTGTCCGTCCACATTCTGGATTCGACTAACAGAATAAAACAAATCGCCGGGGACACTCGATGTGATCCCGAGTTTTCCCGAAGACTCGAAGTTAAAAATAACCCACACAACATGATAAATGGCGTTTGAGCGGTCGCTGCACACGAAAAAAATGTCCAGTCGAAGCATGCCCCCTCCGGGTATGACAAGGGGTAATACGTGAGTATTATGATATAAAATAATTACGGAAACATATTCAGCGTTGAACCCATTCGCTGTCTATGGAGACAATAGCTGACATTTCGAAATCAAATGTCTTGTGTTATATACAGTAAACGGATATTCTAGTATCCTGGTACTATCTGGAGAAAGTTAGCATATTTTGTGTAAACACTGTTCTATTTTAGGTATGATTCTACTAAAAAAAAAATTTAAATCTGTAAAGATCACATGACAATTAATTGATGCTAAATATATAGTGACCATATTATTGTAAAAATTGATATTAACTGTTTTATGAAAGTATGTTACCAGTATTATACTCATTATTATTCGAAAAATAAATTGACTGCCTAACAAATATAATAAGCTATTTTATATCAAGGATATGTACAAGTCCTTGGTTCTATGTCCATATTAGTCATTATTTGTACAATTCTTAATGGCTATTACAGGTGGGTTGTTCATCAGAGTTGGGAGAGCACTAAATTTAAGCATGGTGGTATCGTGCAGCGCGTGTTTAAAT